CACACACACTTAAAAAAAAAAATGTCCAGCAACAGAGCGCTTCCTGTCTGTGCAGCCTGCTCAGCGCCCTCCAGCGCAGCTGTCCACAGCCTAATCCCATGAAGTTTCACACAAGGCATGACCTGGTGCAGGCTGGCTTCACAAAGTTTCCATTAAATCAGTGTTCACTGAAGACTTAGGAGACAGGCGTGGCAACAAAAGTGGGACAGTTAAGAATGAAGGTCCACACGACAGCGATGAAAATGTTTATTTCATGAGTTCGTCCATCACGACCCACGGTGCATTGAGGCACTAAAATTGTATTAGACACCGTGGTGTCTGTTCGTTAGCGCCTTGTCTCTGTTCTCCGATCAGTCACTCCTCAGTGAGTCTCGAGGCCATCCGGTTACTCAGGCACCTACCTCACGCCCAAAAGTCCCACTGGGGTGTGTACAAATGCTTAATTATAATTTATATTATGTGTTTAAATATGAATGTCAATACATTATTTATTCATATTTAATTATCTATTAATACAACTGTTATAATTTAATATGTCCGTCGTGTGTTGTAATGAACCATAAAATGTGTCCATCTGGCTGACGATCTTAACTGGAGCCTGCTTTGGGGTGGGCTTCTGTTAACCCATCCTGGGAAATCGAGCCAAGGCTTATCGGTGGAAGCGCTGCACCTGTGTCCACCGACCGGCTCTCACTACACACCCTGCTTCTGAGCACAGCCACAGAGCCGCAGAGCCTGCCTCTGTCCACCCCGCACCTTCTCACAGTGCCTGTCACCGCAGGAAGGGCTTGGCCCGGCACTGCCCTTGGGGACTCTGAGGCAGGCCAGCATGGTGAGGATGGACATAGCCAGGCATCCTGACCAGTGAGCAGCAGGGGTGGACAGCTGAGTTCCGCAAGCCCTGTGCCCAGAAGACTGACAGGTGCCACTCCACCACCCTGAGACAGCAGAAGGGAGCCCCAGGTGCCCACCGATGCCCCAGACCTCAGGTGGCCACCACAGCACTGTCTCATGAAGCTGGCCCTGGCCAGATGGGGCAGGGATACACGCAAGGCAGAAGCAGAAGAGTGGGCACAGGGTGCTTTGAGTAAGGGGCCCCGGGGGTGCACAGCTCCCTCTGGTCTCACTGCAGGCCCCTCCTCAGCTGCAGACAGCGCCCCACAGGGGACTCCTGCCCTTGAGCCAGGGCTACAGGAGCATGGTAGGGATGGGCCACAGGCAGTCCTCCATGGCCTGCCCATCCCTGGGCTGGAGTGCAAGGTGGCTCCTACTCTGTGGCGAAGGCCTGGAGGGTGCAGGTCCACAGTGAGTTGTGCAACCAGGGGAGTGGAAAAGCCTGCTCAGCCCAGGCTTGTGGAAAGGAGGCATCCCAGGCTTGCCTGTGCCAAGGTGCAGCGTGAGCCAGCCCTTGGCTGGTGGGCAGGGCGGAGTCTCTCAGAGAAGCCAGTCCCCCCGCTACAGGTGAAGATCTCGAGACACCTTGTTCAGGAGCGCACGCAGGAGGTGACAGGCACCCTCTGCACCGTGCGGGGAGCAGGCAGTCACCCAGGAGTGTGGGAGCCGGCTCCTCCTGGTGTGGCCTTGGTGGCCCGCACAGCCGCGCAGGTTCCAGGGCCAGCCCTCTCTCCACAGCCAAAGGACAGGGCAACATGAGCTGGTCAAGGCACATGGGCAAGATCCGGAAGCGTCTGGAAGACGTCAAGAACCAGTGGGTCCGGCCGGCCAGGGCAGACTTCAGTGACAATGAGAGCGCCCGGCTGGCCACAGATGCCCTCCTGGATGGGGGTCCTGAGGCCTACAGGCGGGTGCTCAGCCAGGAAGGGGAGGTGGACTTTCTGTCCTCGCTGGAGGCCCAGTACGTCCAGGCCCAGGCCAAGGAGCCCTGCTGTGTCCCAGAGCCTGCAGGAGCGGCCGAGGGTGGGCCCAAGGGACAGGCCTCCTGCTCCTTGCAGTCAGGAACCTACTCGCCCCCGGCCTCTGAGGGCAGCGAGCCAGGCCTGCTGCACACCTGGGCTTTGGCTGAGAAGCCCTACCTCAAGGAGAAATCCAGCGCCACCGTGTACTTCCAGACAGACAAACACAGCAACATCAGGGACCTCGTCCGGCGCTGCATCTCCCGGAGCAGCCAGGTAAGCAGGCAGGGCTCAGGGCCTCCGGGCCATGGGGGCAGGGCCTGGTGGACAGGCAGGGGCTGGAGTAGAGGACTGCCCCCTGCCTTGCCCTGGCTTCAGGTTTATCATCGGGGGCTCATTCTACCGTGGGCACAACATGACCGTTTGGTTCTGGACACCCCCACTCTGTTCCACAGCCCAGAGAGACCGAGTGGGCTCTGCAGAAGGAAACCACTCGTCCGTAGGACCAGTTTTCCCCTCCCCAGTGATCTGTTCTGGGACATTCACACACAATGCTATTTCTGCTCCTTTTTTTTTTTTTCCCCTTTTCTGATTTTTTTCTCCCTTTTTTGAAACAAGGTCTCTCAATGCAGTTCAGGCTGGCCTTGAGCTCACTCTGCAGCCCAGGCTGGCCCTGAACTCATGGCGATCCTCCTACCCCAGCCTCCTCATCAATGTATGAAATCTTAAGGTCCTGGGAAAAGGCACCAGGGTGGGCAGCTGCGTGGGGGGGACTGAGGGGCAGAGCGCTGGAAAATGAAAGGGAGGGGGCTCTGCCTGTCTGCCTCAGAAATGGGTTTCATAGGGGCCAGGGAGATGGCTTAGTGGAATAAGCGCTTCCCTGGCAAGCACAAAGGCCTGAGTTCAATCCCCAGTCCCGCAAAAAAAAAAAAAGAAAAGAAATAGGTTTTTTTTTTTCTCATGTATCAACTTTATTATAAAATAACTTAAATCAACCCCTTGATAAGACTTTACTTCCGATTAAATGTGCCCTCATCCTTTACTACTTAAATTTGAAAATTACTTTTCAAAAGGCATTTGGTAGGAACTTGTATACAGGCTTTGTGAAGTCATGTGATGGTCACAGTTAATTGTCCCCCTCTAAGCTTTTTTTTTTTTTTTTTGCATTTTAACATTTATTTTTTTAAAGTTTTATTGATAAACAGCAATGAGACAGTTTCAACTCAAATCAGAAGTACAGTTTCAACAAATAATACACTGCATATATTCTTCTCAGTGGTTAATTGCTGTACAAGATGCGGACTTGTGATCCTATTTACAAACACCATTAGGAAAAATCATTTTATTCATTAAGAGAATGCAACTATATATCTATCCTAACCACTTTGAATACACAGATACAAAATGGACATTCATCGGTATACCCCATTTTTTCTAAGTTCCGTTATTGAATATTATAGGTGTGTAAACTCAGCAAAATATTCTAAAAGAGTCCAGTAGCCCATAATAGTATTGGGTCTTCTGTTTAACTGGCAATGTCAGAAATTATTGACCTGAGTCCCCCACAGCTCAACATAACAGCATGGCTTTACTTCCTATATTTCGTCTTCATACTTTTCTACTGGATGGATAAGACCAAGGTAAAGCAGGACCTGTGCAACAAGAGTTGTAGCTTTTTGGTCTGAGAAGGTCAGTGAAATGCCCTCAGGATTTGTCCTGAGATCCTGTACCTCAGATTGTAGAACCTTTATCAGTGCAGCCATGTGGATGAGTCACGGCCATTGCTTGGCCAATGTGCTCTCTGTGAAAGCCTGAGAGAGTGTCTTCTCCCCATGTGACTCTCCTTAGGCAAGAAATAGGTTTCATTGTCATGACAGGGCAGCCTCAGAAGCCATCAGGTGAGCTGGGCAGGCTGCCCGGCGCCCAGTATCACCTGGGGCAGCCTGCAGGGCCCTGCACCCCAGGCCTCAGCTCACAAGGCCTGTCCCTAGTGCTGGCCTCCTTGTGCGACGTCCCTGCTGTCTCAAGAGTGGGAACCAGAGTGCCGGGGAGTCCCGAGCTGCACCTCCCGGCAGGTGAGGACTGTGCCGTACAGGGCCCCTCCTGCTGCCTGTGCCCTCTGTGGCCCTGAGGCTGAAGGTGTCCTTTCGAACAACACAACAGGTTGTTAATGCAGGCAAACACTTACAGGTCAGAAGAGCCAGTGAGCTAGCCCAGCGGTCTAAAGCGCCTGCTTAGGCAAGCTTGGGTAAGTGCACAGGGACTGTGGTTTGGTCCTGCCACCACCTGCTGCACCAGCCCCTGCCCCCCAGGGTGGGCTGAGCCATCCACAAAAAAAAAGTCAGAAGATTTTACTTAAAAAGTAAGACTGTCCAGCCCCCTCCCCCACAGGAAGGCAGAGCTGGCTCTCTGGTGCCAGGTGGCGGCCTCCTCCTTGTGAGACACCCCCACTCCCACCCACAGACACACGAACACACACGAGGACTTCAGACGAACCTGTGTCCCCAGTCACAGATGGACAGAAGAGAGAAAAACCATAGGCATGACCCCTGCCCGGTGGCCTTGGGCCCTTGAGAGGGGTGGCAGGTGAACTAAGCAACAGGCCCACCTTGGCTTCTCAGGCGGGTGCTGCTCCCAGGAAGAGGCCTCCGCCTCCCTTTCCTCAGACTCGGGCTGCTTTATGCCTTGAGACAGGATGGCAGCAGAGTGGGACAGGAGGGCCCCTGCTCCTTGAGGAGCCTCTGCCATCCTTGGGGGACAGAGAGCAGAGGACACTCAGGGCCACAGCCCAGACTCTGGGTGCCCCAGTGAGGAAGGGGACTGAGGTGGCTTCCTAGAAGAGACGGCCCCTGAGGCTGAGTAAGAATTTGTCAGGCGGAGAGGGAAGGGCAAGGAAATCCAGGCACAGGAAGAGCCAGTGTGAAGCTTGGTGCCGTGAGAAGGCTCACGGGTCCCGCAGGTGGGGCGACATCGTCCTCCACCTGAGGGGCTGGTGCTTGGGGATGTGGGACCCCAGGGAGTGGAAAGGTGCAGGGAGCCAAGGCTGGCCGTGGGGTGCCCTTGGGACAAAAAGGCGAGCAGCAGCTCCCAGCTGTGCTCCCCGAGGCCCTTCAGGTTCTGTGGGCTCTTTGTCCTGACCACGTTTCTGAGGCTGGCGATCAGCATCAACTTGCACCAGACAGCAGGGGTGGCAGACGAGGGAGACACCACAGCGACAAGCGAATGGAAGACAGGGGCTGGGTGCAGCTTGGTGTAGAACACGTGTCCAGAACGTGCAGGGCCCCAGCCCCATGCCCAGTGTGGACGGACACACACAGTGCACGTACGTGAGAGAGGAGGACAGGGGTCTTTTTGTCAGTCCTGTGACTTTATGCTACTGTTTCCATGCAGGCAAAAGCTCTTTGAAACAGTTGATAGTTTTTTGTGTTTTGTTTTTCTTTTCTTTTTTTCTTTTCTTTTCTTTTTTTTTTTTTGCAGAACCAGGAATTGAACTCAGGCCCTTGCGCTTGCCAGGCAAGTGCTTAGTCCACTGAGCCATCTCCCCGGCCCCTTTGCTTTGTTTTTGTTTTTATTTTTTTATTATTTATTTATTTATTTATTTATTGGTGGTACCAGGGATCAATCTCAGGACCTTGTGCTTGCCAGGCAAGCACTTGTTCCGCTGAGCTATCTCCCTGGCTCCCCTTTTGTTTTTATTTTTGAGACAGTCTCTCTTCCCAGTTGCTGGGCCTGTGCTCACTTTTGTAGCCCCAGGCTGATCTGGAACTCACAGTGATCTTCCTGTCTTGACCTCCCAAGTGCTGGAATAGCATGCAGGTGCCACCACACCCATCCAGCGTGGAGCAAGCGCAGGGCCAACAGGGACATTGGAGTGGAACCCTCATGCCTCATCCTGCCTCCCTTAGGCGGCACCTGACAGCCACAGAGGGGCCTGGCGCCTGCTGCCTTCCGCTCCTGGGGATGAAGCTGCTCTGCTAGTGGGGGTTCCCTCGCGCCCATGCCTGGCACAGCCCAAACCCCGTTTCCCCTCCCAGCCCATCTTTCAAAGAAGCAGGGTCTCCCGATTTAGGTGGTCCAGGACGGGCTGTGGGGGTGCTGCTCCAGCAGGCTGTTCTCCCCTCGAACGCCCTTGCTCGGAAG